TACAAAATCTATGTTTTGAGATAGCTTTGTTTAATCGAAATTATAAGATGAGATTAGTTATTATATCTTTAAAATATGGGTTTTGATATTCAAGCAAGTTTTTCTCCTTTTTTGTTTTATAGAAAATTAAAAATTTCAGCATTTCCGATATAATGATGAATATATATTCACATGGAGTATAATATAAGAATAGTTGTTTTTTTTTGTTAAGTTTTGGTTGTGTTATGAATGTATGTTTTCGTTGACATGGATTTCAAAAATCTTATGTAAATCTATAGTATTTTGAGAATCTTGGTGTATGAGTAAAATTGAAGAATTCCCCCCTCCCTTTAAAAAATGACGTTTCTCTCTCGCCAAGGCGATTGAAACGGTCGGTTTTCAAATTCAACAACGGAATGATCTGCCGTTTCGTACATTGCTGGCCATGGAACCACCACGGATGAAGCATACTGATCGAGAGACCTTCCTGTGCAATGATAGAAGAGACCCGTATGGGGGTTAATTTTGAAACGATCTTGGCGAGATCGGATTTGACGAATAGCAGATTTGGTGGGATTACCAGAGATCTTTTTTCTTCTACCATTACGAAGAGGCTCATCGATATGGAAAAAAGTTTATCTCTAACAAGACAGATCGGTAGATCTGATCTCCCTCTCTCCAATCCCACTAATCGTTCAGAGCGAATCATTTGCGGGGTCGATTGGGCTCAAATCATGGGATTCATTCGGATTCCCTTAGGTTTACAGGGAGATTTGGGAGAGGGAGAGAGAACGAAATTGGCCTCCACTATATAACACAATTGTGTGCTGTTCTCTTTGGAGTACCCAGCTTTTGATCTTCTTAGATCTCTCTATAATTGACTTTGTTTCCTATGTTTTTTTATGCTCACACAAATGGCTTTCTTTGGGAAAACTGATCAAGCAACAAAGCATTCCAAACCGCTACAGCTACCTCAGATCAACAATGAGAAAGTCTTGAAGAAATTTGAGAGAACTTTGGTGGGAAGAGTGCTCAACCTGGAGATCTCGGAGAGCCGTGTGAAGGCTATGCTTGCTTTCCTACCGACTGTGTGGAGGTGTGAAGGCCGTGTGTAGGGGCTGGAGATGGGCCGAGGCAAATTCCACTTCCGATTTGAAGAGGAACATGTCCTGCAATATGTACTTGACAATAGGCCATACCATTTTGATGGATGGATGATTGCAATGGAACGATGGGTGCCAACAGTGAGGAGAGACTTCCCAAACTCAATTCCTTTTTGGGTCTAGATTTTGGACCTCCTTGGTCAATACTGTGAGGATGATCAAGTGAAAAAAGGGGGAAGATTTGATTGAAATTATGAGCCGAAAGGTCATTGAACCTTTTCCAATGGTTCGTGTGGTGGTGGAATGCGACGCTCCACTCATTCTTCACTGAGAGACGGTCTCAGATACGGGAGAGTTATTCACAATCAATTTTGAGTACTTGAAACTTCAAACGTACTGCAAGAAGTGCTTCCAGATGTCGCACGATACACGAGCCTGCCCATTACGTGCGGCGAGACACCAGAACACTCGGGATTTAACCGAG